ATGTTTTATGAATAAACACGATGTTTTGGAAATATTTATCAAAAGAAATTTATACTATGTTGCGAATTACAATTTCGAGATAACCTTCTTTTATTTACGAACTTATGTCTTTGATGCTGAAATTGACAACTTTATAAAAATACATTTTCACTGAAATTATGAAATCTGGGTGTCGGAAAGGTGTAAAATTATTCTTCGGAAAAGAAAAAAACAGTAGTTGAGCTAGATAAGAAATTATACGGGGGCAGGCTCCTATGGAGAATTAACATTACTGGAAACAGGCCCTTTGTATAAGTTGGACTGTAGTTTCGATACATTTGGTTATTCCGTTTTATGTTGCAATGTCTTTTGATAAATGCATGTATTCTGATCCTATCTATGAAATGTGTAATATAAACCCCTTCATGTAATTTGTTATACTGTGATGATTCATTGTTTTATTTTTGAGTGTATTGTCGATAGTTCAATTTGTGATTTTTCTAGTCTTGATCGAGTTGTTGTTCTAATTTTGCTTAACCCTACAGGCCTATTTTGTTTCATGCTAATGGCCAGTGCTTTTATGTGTATATGCTACCATAGTTCTAGTAATGTGTAGTAAGCCATAGTGCTGTGATTTTTTGTACTAAGTGATGTATTTGTTTTATGTACATCCTGGTATTTTTTCTGTATGTAGTATGCTGTTGAACTTAACTTGACGTTATTATTATTACTAATTATATCTATGGTTTTTTTTCGGGTTTATTTCATTTTGATTGCACGGCCTTCTGTTGCATGGGAGTAGGAATGTACCGAACTGTCATAACTTCAAGGGAAGTCGCGTCACATAATTGACGTTTGGTGTATGTGAGGTGATGGCGTAATGAGCTATGCCTTGATTGTATCACTCATATTGAAGGCATTTCTGAGAGGTTGATGTTCAACCTCTTTCCTAACTGAGGTTGTCCAGTATTTATTAACCGAAACATTCACAATATACTCCCACTTGCCGTTATGAACTTTATATTTCAGAAGTTGGTGAGCAGATTATAGATGGCAAGAAGCTTCACTAAACAAGCTGTTCTGATAGAGTGGAGCAGTGCAAATTTTAACTGCCTCTTTGGATGGCTGTGTTCTTGCGAGCAGGATGAGGATGATATCTTGGTCAGCTGCCACAAATGGCCAGTGTAGCTTTAAAATAGGAACTTTTGCTTGATTACCTTTATTGGTGTGGACGAAGGACGAATGTCATGCCCCCAAAAAGACGCCTTGTTCTTGATCATATGCCATATGACGTAACAGTCCTGATTCTGACAAATTCGGATTTTACCATCCTTTGACAATCAGTTCTGAAAAAAACCCACTTATTTACGAAGTTGCGACATTTAGATTTTCCCCTCTGGTTGATATTTGATGGTTGATAATATACATGTTTCTGCTGAGAAGATGTGATTGTGAGACATTGTTCCATGTGTAACTTTGTTTGCTTATATGTCATAGCAAAATTGAAGGCACGCGATTAGATATTTGTTTGGTAAAAACTAAAACTCTGACCAATCGGTAGGCTGATACTAACTAGTCCTTTGAAGGTTATAGAGGATCGACACCCGACTTCAAAGCCACTTAATTTAACCGTTATGACACCGCGAGATTATTTTGATGTACATTAAAGGATCAAACTAGTCTTCTTGTCTCATCCACGTGGTGGCACACACTTATAGCCTTCAATTTTACTATGACATTTTCCAGGTGTGCAAAGAGCGAAAGCGAGCGTAACCCCTGTAGCGTTTACATGCAAATGTATACGTGTTAAATACATTTGTAAATGTTTCATGCCACATACATATATATATCTATATCAATTAATTGCCATATTAGACTGTTTCGTTGAGCATATCCACATGCTATTAGCATGATACATACACAACATATACAACAGAACGAAAATGTAAGAATATACAAAAATTGCATGAATACATTTTATACCGGTAGCATATATTTGCCGGTATAAGTATTTCCTGTCTTGATAAAAACTAAACAGTTTCAATTGTAATTGCAATATTTATTCAATATTGAACAAAAACTTAATAAAATCGAAAACAATTAGTAATCATTTTCCCCCTGGAAAGAAAATTAAAGAAAAGGTTGATGGGCGGTTCAAATATGTTTTCCACAATTGTATGTATTTTGTCAGTATTGTTCAGCGGCGTGTTTTTAGCGGAACTGGGCATGGCTGATTTGGAACCGGATCTGGAGACGGCGCCGTAGCAGATACAACATATGGGTGGAGGACATGACCAGTTGGTGGGGTGTTTGTCCGGCAGTGAACGTTGGGTAGGACATGACCGGTTGGTGGGGTGTCTGTCCGGCAGTGAACGTTTAGTAGGACATGACAGGTTGGTGGGGTGTCTGTCCTGCAGTGAACGTTGGGTTGGACATGACCGGTTGGTGGGGTGTCTGTCCGGCAGTGAACGTTCAGTAGGACATGACAGGTTGGTGGGGTGTCTGTCCTGCAGTGAACTTTGGGTAGGACATGACAGGTTGGTGGGGTGTCTGTCGGGCAGTGAACGTTGGGTAGGACATGACCGGGTGGTGGGGTGTCTGTCCGGCAGTGAACGTTGGGTAGGGCATGACCGGTTGGTGGGGTGTCTGTCCGGCAATGAGCGTTGGGTAGGACATGACAGGTTGGTGGGGTGTCTGTCCGGCAGTGAACGTTTAGTAGGACATGACAGGTTGGTGGGGTGTCTGTCCTGCAGTGAACTTTGGGTAGGACATGACAGGTTGGTGGGGTGTCTGTCCGGCAGTGAACGTTGAGTTGGACATGACAGGTTGGTTGGGTGTCTGTTCGGCATTGAACGTTGGGTAGGACATGACAGGTTGGTGGGGTGTCTGACAGGTTGGTGGGGTGTCTGTCCGCCCGTGAACGTCGGGTAGGACATGACCGGTTGGTGGAGTGTCTGTCCGGCAGTGAACGTTGGGTAGGACATGACCGGTTGGTGGGGTGTCTGTCCGGTAGTGAACGTTGGGTAGGACATGACCGGTTGGTGGGGTGTCTTCTGTCCGGCAGTGAACGTACGGTAGGACATGACAGGTTGGTGGGGTGTCTGTCCGGCAGTGAACGAACTTGGGTACGACATTGACCGGTTGATGGAGTGTCTGTCCGGCAGTGAATGTTGGGTAGGACAAGACCGGTTGTTTGGGTGTCTGTCCGGCAGTGAACGTTGTATGGGGCATGACCGGTTGGTTGGGCGTCTGTCCGGGAGTGAACGAAAGATGGGACATAACCGTTTGGTGAGGGGTCTGTCCCGTAGCGAAGGGGCATGACCGGGTGAAGCGACGTCCTGCTTTCCGGGGTAGATGTACATATAATTTTCTGCTTTCTGGTGGTATCTGGATATCTTGAAATCGGGGAACGATACACCCCGAGCTTCCATGCATTTTTTAAACGGGCTACCATCGGTGTGTGTTTTCCCAGAACTGTCGTGTAGACTCCCGCTCTTTAAAACGTGTAAAAACGAGGTTGATGCACGCGACACTGTTTTTGGGATAATTCCCCGGTAAAACTTTTCAAGTATTATCATATCAGGGTGGATCGCCCCCATGCACAACGACCGGACCCCAAGCAAGCCGACAGGATAGTATCTATCAATGTCGATGTTGACAAAAAACGGCAAAACTTTGCTAAAGAAAGTGTTGCATGTTTCATCTTGCGCTTTTTTTTTGCCGGCGATCATCGTTTGCAGTTTTTCTAGCTCTTTTGCTAAGCTTTTCATCTTCTCGTTGTCGTGCTTGTCAATATCGTTACAGTATTGGAGACCCTGGCATGGACCCAATTCACAATGGCGTTTTGTGTGACCCATACGGAGATGGCACTGACCACACTGAGACTTGGGTTTATCCATCTTAATACTGGCGTTGCTGTATTTGATCTCCAGTAGACGCAAATGTTCCTTTGCACTTTCAAGTTCTATGTCCTTGACATTTATGACATCTTGAAGTTCATCGATTGCCAGCCGAATTGGGGATTTATGTTCTTATACACCAGTTCAAATGAACATCAATCATTTATCAATTAGGACTCAAAACTGTAATATAGGAAATAGGACCCCAAGCCTAGCGCTTTTATTGTGGTAAAGCTACAAAAACAAGGCAACATCAAGCGACTGCGCACGGCTGTTCCTGAGCGACTGTTCCTGAGCGACTGTTCCTCTAGCTCCAAGTCCCAAATGATCTGTAATAGAAGCTCTGTAATATGCCAAATGCCAACGTCTATAAACCTGAAAGCATACACCAAATGGCTCAGAGAGGCTCTCAATCCTAGTTTAGAGCTCGATGACAAGTAACAAGTAACATCAAAACAAATGAACTCTCTACTGCTCGCTACCAAATTGGCGGGGGGGGGGGGGGGGGGGGGGGGGGTGTGTAAATACCACAAGCGCACTGTCTGGCTGCAACAGCTCGAATGACACTAACACCTATACACCCTGTTCATGCCAACCCCCTACCCCAGGTAATTCACGCGCAACACGTAATTCACCGCGTACGTCAGACTCCACGCCTTACCCCTACATACACAGGTACTCTAGCACCTACGTTACCCCAGTGATCGCGTACCATTGATAAATATAATTATAGACATTTGCTGATATGGGAATATCCTGCCCCGGGATTCAATGTGGGAGGATTCAACGTTTTCCTCCTCGTTTCTGAATAACTGTTTGGGTGCCATGCTGGTCGGTTTAGAAATGTGTGTCACTGGTTTGACGACTCTCCTTCGAAAATCCACAGCTTCATTCACTTCAGCAGTGTTCCCGCTATTATGGATTGACATTGAAAAGCCTCGGTCACACATGTATCCGAAACGCAATAATCCAGCTTTGCTCGTCATCCAAATATTGGAAACCGAACATCTTACCACTTAAACTTTGAATCCTTGCTTGAATATCACACTTAAGTTCCTCGTATGTACACGGTTTATTTGGGATGTTAAATATTCTTATTTTCCCTTCGGCGTATTCAACATGCACCTGTACGCTCTCGATGATTACTCTCGTGTGACCTAATGAACTTTAGCTGTGAAATGAGAGCCAAAATTATGTCACGTACGCTAGTGTCAAGTCATTCAAAGAATAGTAAGATTTTACGATATGTTGAAAAACGTGAGTTGTTCTACCTGTTTCAAACTATGAAAGTAGTTTCACGTCTGCATTGTGTCATAGCTTTATTTTAAATACCACCACATGTAGCTTTCGTCAAATAATTATAAAAACATAGTGCATCTGGTTTTAAAAATGTATGGATTTGATATGCCCGGTAGCTCCGCCCATGCTTTTTTTGGCGGGAATAACTTATAAATTTACTTGTGTATTATCTTTTTTATTTTTATTTTTTTTTATTCAATTTTTCTTTTTTATAAACAACACATTTACACACAAAGCAACAAGCATACATTACATTGATTACAATTCGCTTCACAACGGACACCTCTTTACAAGAGACCAATTATATACTGTACACACATACACATTCACAGGGGGGGGGGGGGGGGGGGGATTGCAAACTTTTCCTTATAGTATAATGATAATTGTTCAAATTATTTTATAAGAGAAGCCATTTTTCTACTTTATTAAGCAAGACTATCTTATTTTTGCAGTTTTTATACTTAATTATCAAGATCTTATGAGATTTAAGTTCAAAAATAATGTGATTCTTTAAACTTGTTATATTAAGTTCCATTTCTAGGCATTTCATTTTAAAAATGTATTGTTTAATCAATAATAGGATAAGATTATCCACTATCAAATCAGCATCCTTTGAACTGAATTGTCCAAATATAAATTCCTGTTTGTCCAAATTTAAATCAATATTACTGGTTGCAAGCAATTGTTTTAGTTCTCTCAAAATTTCACATACTTTACCACAATCCCAAAATAGATGTTCAATTGTTTCTGGAAATCTTTTACAAAAAGTCCAAGTTGAATTTTGTTTTATTCCCATTTTTGCAGGAGTGTGTTTGTAGTTAAGATTCTATGGTTAATTCGGTATTGAAGCCATCTTAATTTAGTACTTTCAGTAGTTTTAAAAGGACATGCATAAATCTTTATCCATAATTTGTCCTGAATGTTAAAAACCGTAAACCATTTCCTTTGTGACGTGGGTTTTGTATCATTTCGGCATAAAACAGCATAAATATCCTGTGCCCCTTTAGTCCTCCTTATTATAATATTAAGATTTAAAGGTATATTAGGTAAACAAATACTAATCTTAAATAGTAAACCTTAACCTTAAATAGTAAACCTTAATCTTAAATATTAAAATTTAACCTTAAATAGTCAACGTTAACCTTAAATAGTCAACATTAACCTTAAATAGTCAACAGTAGTCTTAAGTAGTTCAACCTTAATCTAAAATAGTAAACTTTAATCTTAAATAGTAAACCTTAACCTTAAATAGTCAACATTAACCTTAAATAATTAACCTTATCCTTAAATAGTCAACATTAACCTTAAATAATTAACCTTATCCTTAAATAGTCAACATTAACCTGAAATAATTAACCTTAATCTGGAATACAGTTAAGGAATCGTGATATCTTTTGAAATTTAGAAACCATTGCAGACTGTGATACGTGACTCTGATACTACATGTATGTTAGTTGTTTGTGTACTGTTATCAAGACTTGCAATGGTGATCAGAAAAGTAAATGAATTACTAATAGAAATGTTTGAAAAATCTGTCAAAGTGCTGCACCTTGCTTAACATTAGCTGTTATCCTAATCGAATCTTTCACCTTCATTGTGTAGTCATGTTTATCATGTATAACTTGCGAATTCACACGATGTTGGAAACGCTAAGTACTATATTTGTATACGCTTTGCACAATACACAATAAATATGGCAGTTGTTTACACTTCATAGGTGTTGCAGACCAACAGGTGTAACTGCAACATGTGATCGAGACAAACTGAATGTTGCCCGATAATGCACCATGATAAGAAATTCATATGTATTGATCCTTTCCCATACAATTTGAAATTGCTGCTGTTATCGGCGAAGCCAGGTCATTAAGTAGAACAGCAACAGCTAGAGGATGTTTTTTTTTATCTGTTTAACGTCCAATTTAGATATAAGATCATTTAAGGTCGTGCATTCATATAATGCAGGCGTGCTTGAGTGTTTGTGTGCCGTGAGCAGGGTATGTTGATATATTTCCTTCTTTCCGATAGCGCGGATCTGATGCCAATTTTAAAGTGCTACCTCACTGAAATACTATGCCGAAGGCACCTAGCACAGCATTCGACCCGGTCACATAATACTCAAAACGGGTTAAGTAGTTGTTGTCATAACCCTGAATGCTGAACATTAAGCAGGGAATTTGAAGTACCATCTCTATGGCCTTTGGAATGTCCTGGTCAGGGACAGAACCCATTGCAAACCCAACTTGATGTGCCACTTAGGCAAAAAGTGAGGTATTGTCAAGCAAGGGACAAGGAAACAAAAAGTTTTTCAGAACGTATAGAGAAAATGTCAAGACCCCAAGTGGTGCAATGGGGGCAAGATATCAGTTGTAGTTTTTTCTTTGTCCCCTTAGCCGAAGACACTGACGACANGGCGGGCGGGGGGGGGGGGGGGGGGGGGGGGCACATTAGTCAACTACAGTAACATGTAACGTCACACGCTTTCCCCCACACTAATTTAAAATTAATATGAAACAAACGTGTCATGTCATATACTTTTTTTAATATTAAGAAAAAATATATATTTTAACACAGTAAGTTAGCGTTGAAGAGGTTTCGTAAAGGGTTGAATTAATGTATCTTTATAGAACTATTTTACGAGTGATGTAAATCGTAGCAGTTGTGCTCAATCTGTGTGCAACTACACTGCAAAATAGCAGCTACAGGTATACTCTCTTCAGGAATTTACCTGCTCTATGAATAATTTTATAGTAACTAGGGTTGTCGAACCGTTCAAAAATATTGGTAACCGATTACTCGAACAATCTTCCAAACGAGTAACCGGTTAATTGGTCAATTTGGTAATCAAACAATAACGTCGACAATACGTTACACGTTAAGCCCATGTTTTATTTAAAACGTATTTACACCACAAATAAGCATGATAGTTTACTCGCATATTTCAAGCTAAACGCAGGAAATAGTTTCATGCATGTAACCTCAGTAAGTATATTTTATGCACAACAAATGTCAGAATACGGTAAGACGTGATTCAATTACAGTTATCTGTACTCGAAATGATATGCGTAATATTGTTCTTTAGAACAACATTTATTAGTCCAACGTTCATATTTACATATCACATGTAAAAACGAGTTCTACTTCTGAAAGTTGAAATTTTACAACTTTGTGTTCTGGTTTCCTGTTCAGGTGTGTTTTGGTGTTTGCGGCTTCTCTTTATCAATCTATAGAGTAGAGTACACAAACAACACTATCATGTCAGCCTGAACACTGTTTTTTCATAAAACTATCATATTTTGGTCGCATCTATATATTATTTTTAGGTCTTAGCCTGGGAAACATGGGGCTTCCCATACTTCCGACCGAGTAACAGGTTAACCGTTGACAAAGCTAGTAGTTACTTAAGAGGGCCATAGCGTGTGGGAAATGAACACTGTGACAAATGCCGTCAGTTAAATATACAATTTTGTCATTGAAAAAGAAATGTAATGGATACCTTGAGGATATGCGGCCAAGCATGACCATTGTGTGTCTTATATTATCAAACAAACATGCTTACAGGTGGTCTGCACCCAAGGTCAGGTAATAATGCATGCCATTTTCATGTTTTCGTGGAACATACAAATGTACATTGTAATATCAATCTCTTGTTAAAGTAAGCAAAGCCTTTTCTGGATACATTCTAAAACGTATTGGAATCTATCACTTGCTGTTTTGCACAAATCCAACAACTTGTTCAATGTCAAAAGATACAACACGTCGGACTCCCCGCAACCTCCCTCGAAACACACCCCTGCAGGTCGGGGATCGAGAAAAGAAAGCACATGATATTACCAGCTGCATGTATCGTAAGAGGCGTCTAATGAAGGAACCCCCCTGCAGAATTGGGGATTTGCTTTGATGTCCTCTATTAGGGGACACAAAGGCGACCAAATATAATCTGCTGTACTCATTGAAATATTTGGGATCTTTATCCTTCTTTCTATTTCTAACCACCTTTTATTTTCTAGCGCCTGACCTGGCAACACCTCACTTTTGGCTTTAATGTTGAACGTTCGCCCAGGTGAGGAAGGCAAAAGGTTATGCATCAGACCGGGACATACCAAAGTCCTTAAACATGGTAGTTGTTATTCCCTGCTTAACGATCAGCTTTTAGGGTAATGGCAAACACTGGTTCACCCGTTATCAGTATAATGTGATCGGGCGGAAGGCTGTGTTTGATGCCTTCGGCATGGCATTTCAGTGAGATAGCACTATAAAGTCGACATCAGATCCGCGCTATCACAAGGAGGCAAGCACACCAACATATCCTGTCTCATACACACACAACACTCAAGCATGCATACACTACACACGGAGGCACGTCCTTAAATGACCTTAGCTGTTAATGTTCAACAAAATACACCCAAACCGATCCCTCGAAACAATACAATTTAACAACGTAATCATTCTTAAGGTAAGGGGGTCTGGACCAAACTAGTTAGAGAGCGAAATTTCATATTGCTATAAATTAGAAACCATGGTCTCGCCCAAACTCAAGAAAAGCCATGGTCGTGAAATTTGATACTTCCCTTTGGTTAGTTGAGTTCAGCTTTCATTCGATGGTAATAAGGACTGGTAGCCTGTTGCCAATAAAACGTGACCGGGCGGAGTATCCCCGGTAGCATGATAAATTCATTATCATAGTTTGTCAGTATGAGAATACTCAAGAACGACTCGAGAACAACTTGAGAGCGGGTTTTCTTATTTCCCGGAATACGGGAACGTATTTTCTCAAAAATGTGACGTCCTAAACAGGAAGTGGTATCCACACAAAAGTGATCCACTTAAGTAAATATTCGGTCATAAACATTTCAATATTAAGTTACGAAAAAATATCGTGAGGATAACAACATCATTTTTAGCGTAAATGTGCATATGAGAAAGCCAATGACGACAGGATTGTTCTTAAAATATTTGTTCTACATAGTTTTAAGGGTCATTGTTTTCCTCCACGCAAATCTTCTAGTTGTTTACCTTTTTTACAGACCAAAGACATTTTGAAAATATGGTGTTTAGTTGACTTTTTTTTTAAATGGAGAAATATATAGGGTAGAAGTTTAAAGATGATAAACATTTTATCACAGTGTTTGTCGCTCACACGAGGATAAAATCCCGAGTCTACCTGCTGTGGCCTCTCGATTTTATCCATGTGCGAATATCGAATTGTTCAAACGACAAACCCTGTGTAGATGACTTCCACCATTAATAACAAAGCTGATAATCTCTCATCTAGCCCCCGCAGCACTCTTTCAATAGACTGCACGTTGGTTATCCGTAAGATCATTGAGATAACATGTAAAAAGAAAAGAGTGATTACGTTTTAGTTTACCTGGCGTTTGTTTGTATTCGATGACCCAGCAGTTCAAACAAACATGCTACAACGATCGGCGCATGAGCAAAACAGTAACTTCCGGGTTGGTTCAAATGATTTAACGAAAATTACTATGAATTTGTTTAGTGTCCAGTAGTATGATAAGGACAGATGTACGTGCACATGGTTTATGTTAAAATATCATGTTATCAAATTAAGAAACTGCTTTTATGGGATGAACAAATAGTCACTGTCAATCACATGCATTTTTGGATCATGTTTGATTGAAAATCGAGAAAACATTTTTCGTGTTTATTTTTATGACAATGAGACATGCGCTGACCTTGCCACCAAATGACAAGTTACGTCACGCTCTAGATAAGGCTTGTTGTGTCTGGACGTAAATTCACAAAAAGGTAAGCAGTTAATTGGTATAAGGTTTAAATTATTGAGTAGATAGCGAACATACATATTATTTAACTACTGTATAATTTAAACTGTATTTTCGCGCATTAAGAAACCGCGGTGAAGGATTTTTCCACAATGCACAAACGTTAAAATGAATTAAAAAATCACATTTTACTGCACTTCTAAAATAGTATACGATATCACCCATGTAGTATGTTTACAATTATAATTAACTTGTATTTCATTGTGTAACTTACAAGTCCCGTAATTATAATAATAAAGCCGATTCAGACAAAAATGGTTTTACTGAACAGTTGATATGGAAGTAGTTCAAATGAGTGTATGGAAGCCCAACATTAACTACTTAGGATAGATTTTCCCCTAAACTTAACGTGTTCTTCCAAAAAAATCAAAGGCCATATTACAATATAATAAAAGATGACAAAAGAATAATCTGATAATGATCTAATTATGAAACGTATCTTGAAATTAATCACTCTCACCATCGTAATATATATCGTATACAACGTTTGATTAAATACCTATTGGACTTCAACAATGCGATCATCTTTGATCATTGTTATCAAATCTGCAATTTTCTTTTACTTACTACAGCAAATCGCCGCAATATATTATTCAGTTCTAAAAATTCAGAAGAGAACAGTCTGCACTTGCAAAAATCCTTTTTACCACAATATGATGTATACTAAAATTCAACTTTAAAGGGGTTGGGTGGCTTTTTTAAAATTTAATATGAAAACATGTTTAAACGAGAAATGATAATGAAGAATTTGAAAAGGTATTGTAACGAATTCGGGACAGGTTTAATGATAAATCTTAAAATTCGATTAGTGTTGTTTAAGTTTTGTGATGATAAATTAAGTGTATTTGTGAGTGAATATTGACAATGATATTCAAATGAATCATCAGCATGCCAGGTATGTCATTCCCTTAGTATAATGCATAATAGCATATATTAATCTCGTATTTACCCCTATATAACGACCCGAATGAAAACCAGTTTGATCATCATTGATTAATTTATTGAGAATAGTTTTTATCCTATTAGCTATAGTTACGGATGCAATTTTGTACACAATGTTCAATAGTGACATGGGTCTCCATTTTTAATGAAATGCCTTGGTGTATCTGCTTTTGGTATGTATACACGTTATAATTCCGTCTCTGCGCTATAGAAAGTTGTCCTGTACAATAACCAAAATTGATGGATCTGTCTATAAACTCACCCAATTTTCCCCAAAAGCATTTAAACAATTCTGTTGTAAATCCATCTGACCCTGGGCTTTTATTATTTTTCATTAATTTTAACGTTTTTCTGCCTCTTTATATGTAATTCCCCCTTCTAGACTATCAGACACCTCTCGAGATAGTTTAGGGATTTCATTATTATTAAGATAACATGTCAAGTTTACATTTTGTATATTATCAGCTGTGCTGTTAGAGACACCATAATGATTTTTTTTTTTAAATGAGCAAACTTCCTGTAATATGACTTCCTGTTTTGTTATTAAGTTGTTATTGTCGATTTGTAATTTTTGTATTATTCTTGAGATATAAGTTCTATTTATTAAATTAAAAAAAAAATAACTAGTAGGTTTTTCCGCTTCTTCTGCCCGTTTCGCCTGTGATATAATAATACTGCCTTTAGTCTTATGCTATCTTATCTTCTCTAAATCTTTTTTCACCATTTAATTCATCTAAATTAACATTTTCCTGGGCCTCAAGCTCGTGTATTGTTTTTTTAAGATTATCTTTCCTAAAGGTTTTTTGTTTTTTTTCTTGCATGATGCATATGATATTGTTTTCCCTCGAATTTCCATAGGCAAAGTTTCCAAAATTAACTGGTCATTAATAGTAAATTGAATCTCAGAAGAAGGGATGTTTTCAATATTGTTCAAATGATAAATTGGTATGCAATATTGTTTCTTTATATCATTGATGCAATTATTAACTATTTTTAAGTATTCTGAATCATGTAGATGTGAATAATTAAGTGTCCATATCCCGCAACCTCTTTTAAATTCATTTAACGTTTCTAATATCTTGGGAAATGAATGATCCGACCTATAACCAGGATCTATACCTGTGTGATTCATACTGGAGAGTAGACTTTCTGAAACAATAAAATAAATCTAGACGTGCCGTGCCTGTTTAACGGGGTTCTTTTTTCTCCAAGTATATCTCCTAACATTTTCGTTTATAATATTACACCGGTGTCCTTTTAACAGTTATAAATCATTTCTATGGTGTATATTGACATGCTAGAGTTGTTACCTAGACGACCACTTGCGGGGATCTTATCCAAGTTTGATCTTGCCCAAATACAAGATTTATTTTTAGAAATTTCTGACAGTAAGCAGATATGTGTACCAACCACTAGATTACTGGTTGTAAAGTTATACAACTTCTTATTCTCAACTGCCAGCATATCCCTGTACACCATATGGACTGGTTACGTCACCAATTGTTGCTATGGCACATTGACGCATTCCACTTTTACTCAAGTACATGAAAATAAACACCGGTAGTGTAGCTTATCTCAGTCTTGATCTGGTCATTTTATATTTGAGGAGGCGGGGGGGGGGGTAGGCTTGCTGTTTCTTACTGCATGATTGTAAGAGGCGACTGATGTCCCCTACCTGCAGTGTTTCTTCCTTGTCCTTGTTTAGGAGACATTAAAGAAACCAAGAACAGACCTTCTGAATCCCTCTGTATGTTTATCGTACAAGGTGGCTATTGTAGGGCCCATGCAGAATCGAAGATATTCTTCCGTATCTCCTACGAGTTGGACATGGAAGAGACCAAAATCGATTAGCTGCCCCCTTTGCAACATTTAAGATATTCCGTTGTCTATCTTTCCTGTCTACTTCTCTCTCTTTCTCCCTCGGCACCCGTTCTTATATGACACTGTCTGTTGCAAGGACGTCAAACCCCAAACAAAATGTTTATGTTTTAAATTTATATTTCCTCAGTCTAAAATTTACAGCTAAAACTTCAGCTTCAGTTCAGTTTCTTTACACGCGTGTGATCATTATAGGGCTTTGGAGAACAAAAGTAGCATCGTAATATTAGAATTAGCGACGTTAAACACACGAGTGTTATCATATAAATGAACTCCGGCTTTCCTACACCACCAAAACCTGGCTCGTCCTTAAATGACCATAGCTGCTAATAGGACGTAAAACACAAACAAACCAGAAGCTTGATCAAGTTGGAAGGCTGACGTAGGCTCATTGCGTTAGAACAGTTCTGAATAGTGAAGCAGCGACTGACAGATTGTGCATTACAACCCTAGCTATCTGACATAAACATCAATAACAAACTTGTACCATATAGCAAATATAAGTCAGAGTTAGTATCTGAGAGGTATTTGTCTGTCATATAAGACGAAACATTAGGAACAGCAATGGCAAGATTCAAATGTAATAACCAGGAACTGGCCATTGAAAGTGGCAGGCTGAACGGTGTAGTTAGATAAGAAACGGTGCAAGTCAAATTGAACACGAACTACACTTTATAATTGTTTACCTAATTTATTCAACACACCAACTTATCCTGTCTCCTGCATACAAACATAAAAGCACGCATACACTACACACATGGAGACACGTCCTTAAATGACTTTAGCTGTTAATAGAAGGTTAAACAAAACAAAACAAAACAAAATCAAATTAAAGAAAGAAAAAACCTATTGCCGTGGATAAAATTTGGTACACATACTGCACGTAAAAAAACAACAATGATTACAAATCTTTTTGATAAACTAAGGCGTATAATATGATGTTATATGTGGTAAGGGCTACAAAAACCAAAGACCAGCTACTAGAAGTATGAATTGACACTGTATTATTATTATATTGGCCCATATCAGTCATTTCGGAAAACGTCTAGCTGTTGACTCAAATACATTCACTGATAACGCGTGATATGCAACACAATACAGATGTGATAGTTAGGGTTGGTTCTTTTGTTGATGTGTGTTTTAGTGTTCCTTTTTGCAGTCTATCGACATCTTAAGGCAAAACAAAAAAACACAAAAAATCAGACGTTTGCAAAACGGAATGCATCAATCTTAATCTAAAAGATTAAAATGATCAGACAAAAATCAATAGCAAACGCATTGGCTGTAAAATATGGCATCATATTTGTGTATGGATTATTTTGAATATCAATAATCATGTATAAATCGCACATAGACTTATCACACAAACATTTAATTGCAGTTACAGTATCGACTTTTCAGGCTTTTGCTGATATTTGGCGCATTCGATCATAAAATCATACAGTAGAAAAAATGTTAGTCTCTTTAACTTAAAATATTACCAATGACGACCATACTATAACTCGAATACAAAAATATTCTCTGTATCCTTTCAGTTAATTAATGGCATGAATGTTGATAATATTCGGGTATTCGTGTATGTTGGAGACCGGGTAAAATCGTTAAGGGCATGCTTAAAATAAAATCTGGTCCGGTCTCCAACTTTATCTGGGCTTGTTTGATCTGGTCTCATGGATCAAAATATTCCAGTCTTTTGATAATGCTCGATGTGTAAATGTCAATAACATAATATCCCGTTGAATTAAATTCTTACTAATCTAAGCGTGAACTGAAACCTGAGAAGAATTTCAATATCCCATTGAAAGGCGGAGGTTCGCACCACCAGGCAACACTGATACAAAACGCCAAACCTATCATTATTATTATTGGATTCCGAACGGCCCATAGCTAGCATTCAACAATTCTAGTACTGCCCAACCACGTACTCATTAACAGCTGAGTAGACTGGAACACGCGGAGTAAAATATCTTGTTCAAAAATACAACAAAGTGCCGTGGCGTGACTCGAACCCAGAACTCTTCGGTCGCGAGCCCGGCGTCCTACCACTAAACTGCTTTTCGAAGTTCCTATCATCTCTCTTCTTCAAAGTATTTTGATTGCTCATATGATAAGATTATTGATTCAATTAACGGCAACATAGATTAATTCCTAGATTTAAAGGAATTGACCCCCATATCAATCATTTTATTGAATTAGAAATTGGGGCATTGGCATTTACTGATCAATACCATGTCGAGCAATATAAATACATTAAAACAAGACCCGAACCAGACTATGTTTTATAGATTACCTTTTAAAGGAGGAAGTTGAACACGAATACATATGGAAACACATCCCATCGAGCACACCTGTACGCGCAGGGTGTTACATATCACGCGTTATCTGTATAGAATGTTAATTATGTTTTTAAAAGCCAGACGTTTGCCGATGTGGCTGTTATGGGCCATGCAAATGCATGACAAAACCACTGCCAGAGACATTTTATCCTGAGAGGTGCTGTTTACTTAAGCAGTTGCCATGTCAATAACCTACTAAATACAGGTAACATCTTATTACTAATGCTGTTGTCATGACAGCTGCTGTGGCCCATCATAAGATAGTACCTTGAAACTGAAATACTTTTACTTCAAAATACAGTACACTTGTGTTTGGTATTTTCAATATAAAGTACTCAATACCAATACAGTATCATTCGACGATGTATTATGTTAAAATTTCAATGAAACATGTGATATAGTAATTTAAAATTCAATATCGATGTATTAAATTGTTAAGTATTAGAAACGATTTTATTGTAAAATCATTTGACATGTAACATTTAAACGCGCCATGATAATATGTGCCATAAGCAACAAAAAGCTTAGTAATTTGTACTGAAATACACTATTCCTGCAAATCGATCATTGTATTATACATAGTCTCCATATATCATGTGACATATCACATTATCTCAATACTTATCGACGTATATATTATACCTTTAATGATAGGTACACATGTACCAATAATTCGAAATTGAAAATTGTGTATAGTGACGTTGATGCACAATCAATAGTGTTGCAAATAGCACCGTGTTGTGAGGCACGGAAGTCTAGTGGTAGGACGCCGGGCTCGTGACCGAAGGGTTGAGGGTTCGAGTCATGGCACTGCAACATACCTTACACCGCTTGTTCCAGCCTATACTCAGCTGTAAATGAGTACGTGGTTGGGAAGTGTTAGAATTGTTAAATGCTAGCTGTAAGCGCCGAAATGGCAGCACCGACTGTATGCTCCCCAGGGAGATGAGAAAGATATTGGCTGGTTGCAAAGGACCTATAACCACGGCTTATGATTTGTTAACCGCTTTGAGACGACCTACGATCTAGATTGTAATAAAACGGTATATAGAAACCTCGAATTATTATTATTTATTAAAAGCATCTACTTTGAGCTGAAGGCCTATATTTACTGAACTAATATTGAATTAAATTGATTGAAATATTAGTAGATTAACTGTACACATTACCAGCTTAAATGTACCTTATACACGGCTAATTCAATAAATTGTTCTCTCAATCCAACCACCAGAATAAGCTCAGAAACCATGAAAATGCGTTTGGACTGGCCACCATTTTGAAAATTTTAATTCGGCCCGAGCTTTATAGGCGAAAACGAATCAGCTAGCCAGATTAAACATATCCCATATTAGTAAACAAGGTTTTAGCAGAAAACTTTTAAAAACCACATCTTTCTAACGTGTACGGTAAATATATAGTAATTCTATCACGTCGCCTTTACGGCATTGCGGAATCCGACAGTTCCAAATTCTTGACGTCACGTTATTGTTGAGCCATAGTGACGTCACGTCACGTGAAATGGGGTGTAAGATAGACATTTCCTACAACACTTTCTTATCCATGATAGTTCTATCTTACACACAGGTAAAAGTACACTTTCATGCCCAAGGGTGTAGGATAGGGAAATTTCACCCTCGGGATTTTCAAATTTGGCAAAACCCTCGACAAAGCCTTGGATTTAACCAAATTTGAAAACCATTCGAGTGGAATTTCCCTATCCTACACCCCTGAACATGAAATAGTCTTATAATATTTAGAAGAACACAAATTAAAAGCCCAGGTGATCAGGAATACATCATTAAGACAGAAATATTTCAGCAAAGTTAAAGTACTAAACATTTGCAAAATATCATCTGTGTTCTGTATTAGTGCTTTTAAAAATGATTCTGTAATCGGATACAGGCTCTAACCCTGTGAAATGAAGAGGTTTGTAATATAAACGTATTTTTTTCTGTGTTATAAGAGGGTTTTCATAACAGCAAGAGCCCTACAAGGGTCAATTATTTATCAACTGCTATTTCTAATCTACATTAAAGACATTGTCAACGAAATGAATTCTATAATTAAATTATTTGTAGAAGACATAACACTAAACTAAAAGGTCAATAATCAAACTACAGAAGGAATCGCTCTTGAGGCAGACCTACAAACACTAGAAATCTGGTAGTCAGTTTTACGAACAATAGCGAACTGGTCCAAAACGTTAGTCCCAAAAACGTTTGAAAATTAGTAAAAAAAATAGTCCTCCGCACCAATTATTGAACATGGGTACTAAAGAAAAAATAACTTTCGAAGTAAACAAGCACCTAGGGAACCCTGTAGGTTGGGGATCGAGATGAGAATACACCTGCTGTTATCCACTGCATGTAACGTAAGAGGCCACTAATGAATGAACCCCCCTGCAGGTTCTTTCTACTTCTAACTACCTTGTATTTCCTAGCGCCTTGCTTGGTAATACCTACATTTGGACTTAATGTTGAGCGTTAGCCAAGGCGAGGAAGGCAATTGGTTCTGTCCCAAAGGCCGGGATATACTAAAGTTCTCAAAAATGGTAGTTGCTATTCCCTGCTTATTGCTCAGAATTTAGTGTAATGGCAACAACTGGTTCACCCGTTGTCATTATAATGTGATCCGGAATGCTATGATGGGTGGCTTCGGCATGGTATTTCGGTGAGGTAGCTCTATAAAGACGGCATCAGATCAGCGCTACCACAAAGAGGCAATTACACAAGCGTAGCCTGCCTCAGGCACACAAACATACATGCACGCATACGTCCTAAAATGGCGTAAGCTGTTAATAGGACGTTTAACAAAATAAAACCAAATAAACACGTAGGGGTATTATTTTCTGGAATGATGGCAATTGGGTAAAACCTGTAAACTACAATATTAATACAGCCTCTGCAAGAATCAATATTCTTAGTTCCCTTAAATTCAAACGTGACCGAAACACTTTACAAACTATTTACTACTTATGTATAAGACCTATCACTGAACAAGATGACGTGGTGAGGAACAACATGGCTGATGAACATAGTGCTATACACGAACATATCCATACTGAGGCAGTAAGGTGTGTATCTGGTGCAACCACACTTACTAGCATCATAGATAAACTGTATACAGAAGTAGACTGGGACAATTTTATTGAACGGCGACAACAGCATTAACTTATCCTTTTTCTCAAAATATACTAGCAAAATACTACAGAATATTCCAGTACCTGCTTGTGGGACACGACGGTGAATATATATAGTCATCATACTAGACACTCGGATGTTACAACCATTGCACCCATTCTTGTCAGTCTAATATGTATCACATATTTTTCTTATCCTATACTGTCAATGGCTTTAGCAATATTTGATTTAGTATCAGGAGAAACCTGTCCTTTTTATAATTTAATTCATATTTCAAACACAACAACAAAAATACTTCCACCAAATCACTGCTCGTATAGGGGTCACGATTGTGGTAAAGTTATCATGCTAGGCCTGTATGCACGAACAATATCATTAAATCAACTCTTTGTGCTTGCGGTAGCATTGAAAACGCAGTCCGCTATCTGCTTGAATGTACCTTATACTCGGCCATCTTGTATAACTGTCAACTCCTTATATGGCGATGAATTGTTGTCATAAGAAGAACACAAATTGATCGTCCTCGATGTTTAGGAGTTTATCCTTAAGGAAATTCACCAAAACTTAAGGAACTAAACTGCAGAATAATATTGATTTAATAACAAGATACAATAAATTACATAAGAAAAATATCACAGCAAGGTAATAAAACATATTAACACATATTACTATCGCTAAGGGATGAGAAAATGTTCAAACAAAGTAACTAAAAGTCCGTAGATAAACGCTGCACAAATCTCATGCAGATAGGGTGAGATATTAAAAGCACATGGCTGTACATGTTTACATGCTAATACAACAAGGTGTAAGAATTAATCGAATGAACACTTATATAGTATAATCTAAAATACATACAGAGTGTATAAAGCATAATAAAGGAAATGTGAAGATAATTTTAAGAGGAATAATTGAAACATAAGATGAGAAAAAGACTATGAATTTCAAGAGTAATCTATTCAAGATCGCATGTTTCACTATTTTACAAAGAACTTAATCAAATCACCCAAGCACAAAAGTATTCTCGTGGTCGGTTCAGTTTTACCAGACCTTGATGCGCGAGATTTAATCCCTGCGAACAACTTCTGATCGGAACAACTGCGAAAATTTAGCCACTGAAAATTAAAATCTATACATTATTCGAAAAGGTCTATTAAAAATTAAAAAGTATTAAGCCCTATAATGAGTCACTTATGTAACGGTGATACGGGAAGATAGTTTACGAATGTTTATTTTAAGTCTAGTTTATATTTAACAAATATCGAAATTTATAAACACATTAGTATTCTTGCACTAAATTTGCTTAGTTTGTTCGCTTTTTTGACGTGAGAGTTAATAATGATTTCCGTCAGATGTGTCCTATTTTCTGTGATTCATATCTCTTACTTACAATGCATCTCAAAATAAATAATACAAATGTATTTCTTTTTGTTCCAAGACCTATTTACACACCATATACACCATTATACCCCTCCGCATTCACGCCATGTTGGTCTCTGTGTAGTATAACATATAGATCGATAGAGAGATAGTTAGATAGATAGATATATTGAAGATATCAATGTTAAAATTAATAAAATAAAAAATGGTATAATTCGCATGTTTTCCATTTCAGGAACGATGCGTGTAGGAGTTTAACCATGTTACAGACTTGCTGTGGTTCATTCCATGATCTCCATTGCATCATCGTCGGAATATTTCTCTATCGACAGCAGAATGATTTGAACACAATGAAAGTAAGAGTAAGTGGAACACCCTTCCTTAAAATGCAGCCATCATATAACAAACGTTCATCCCATGATGCATTCGGAAATATGACAAAAACAGTAGGAATTCAAGCAAAAAACATTTATTTCTACAATCCCCAGTTTTATCACGTGTTTACTGACTGGACTTTAGATACCTGGGGTACGTCAAAGAAATTTGAGAGATGTCCCGTCTCTGATTGTATTGTCACAAAAGGGGAGGTCCCTATGGAACAAAGTGATGCGATTATTTTTAAGCCAAGAGATTCCACCAAACAAACCCCCTGGTCAAGTGTGGATATTTGCTGAATTTGAAACACCACACTACTATTTTCAAAGTAAGTGCTTTTACGAACTAAAGAATAAAGTTAACTGGACGATGACGTATCGGCGTGATGCTGATTTCCCTATTGCACATGGTTATATCAGGAAAAGCGACAGACCAAAATACACTAAGAAGGATCTGGACGATATTTATGCTAAGAAAAACAGAACAGCTGTGGTTTTCATAAGTCATTGTCCCACTGTTGGCAAACGGTTGAAATTTATCGAACTGTTGTGGTCGCATGGTATACAGGTGGACATTTTTGGCTCATGTGGAGCTAAGTCAGTAGAGTGCAATAACGAAGACCGCTACTTGCTGTCCTTCAACGTATCAGGGATAGTAAAACCCGATTGCTTCAGCACTGTTCTGTCACAGTACAAGTATTTCCTGTCGTTAGAAAATTCCCTCTGCATGGATTATACCACAGAAAAATCCCTTCATCGTGTTATGTGCCACCCTATTCTGCTGGGTACAAAAGGAAGAATGCACATATGCTTCCAGGATGACCCCGGGGTCTGGCTTCACCCTTGGAGACTTAACCCCTGGGTCATAACTTCGGAACTGTTGAGATCCCCTCCCCAAAACTATATATACAATTGTTGGGCATAATGCTGTCATTATATTAGAATTGACCCCAGGATCTGTCCCGCCTTTGCAAGCTTAACCACTGGGTCATAACTTTGAAACGGTTGAGATCCCCACCCCAAAACTATATACAATATACAATTATTGGGCATAAAGAGACAAATGCTGTCATGATATAAGAATAGACCCCGGGATCTGCCCCACCCTTGCATACTTAACCCCTGGTTCATAACTTTGAAACGGTTGGGATCCCCACCCCAAAACTATATATACAACTGGTGAGTACAAAAGGAAGAATGCACATATGCTTCCAGGATGACCCCGGGGTCTGGCTTCACCCTTGGAGACTTAACCCCTGGGTCATAACTTCGGAACTGTTGAGATCCCCTCCCCAAAACTATATATACAATTGTTGGGCATAATGCTGTCATTATATTAGAATTGACCCCAGGATCTGCCCCACCTTTGCAAGCTTAACCACTGGGTCATAACTTTGAAACGGTTGAGATCCCCACCCCAGAACTATATACAAAATACAATTGTTGGGCATAAAGAAACAAATGCTGTCATGATATTAGAATTGACCCGGGATCTGCCCCACCCTTGCATACTTAACCCCTGGTTCATAACTTTGAAATGGTTGAGATCCCCACCCCACAACTATATATACAAATGCTGGGCATAAAGAGACAAATGCTGTCATGATATTAGAACTGACCCTGGGGTCAGGCCACAACCCTAGGGACCTAGTTTCGTAGTCACAGCTTGGAAACAGTTGAGATCCCCACCTCAAAACCATACATAAACTTGTTGGGCATGAAAAATCTAATACAGATACGTTACAAGGTTTGGCCTTAGGGTCTGGCCAATTCCCTTGGATCTTATAAGGTGAATATTTTGCCATGATTGCTTAGATATCCATGTGAGCGAATTGTTTTTAGATATTTCAAGATCAACTGATATCGGCAGTTACAATTTTCATTGCTTCAATTTGAACGGATTCCAGTAGTTTTTCTTCCGCAGTGCTACAGTTACCCAATACAGAAGAGGCATATGCTAAAGTAGGACGAATGAAGGAGAGATATAGTAATTCTAAAGATTTCCTATCAATTTTATGTTTTAGCATACGCAGAATATTTAATCTTTTACATGATTTATCATAAATATATTTAACATGATCACCCCAAGAAGCATTAGTATTAAATACTACGCAGAGATGTTTACGCTATATTGTTTTTAATATATATAGCCAGCCCCGTTTTAGAACTGCCGAATTTCAGAGGTTCAAAATAACCCATAATTTTGGGAACTTAAAGATTTTGTCTAATTTTTGTTTCTTGAATTTTGATAGTGTCTATATCGGGGCACTCTGTAATTAGTTGTTTAAGTTCTATAAGGTTTGGCCTCAGGCCACGGGCGTTCCAGGCTGAGAACAGAAAGAGCGCCCGCGGCCTTTTTAACTTCCTGTTCTCTAATCATTGTTATTTATTAATTATTGGTTGTTTAATTTCTGTTTATAGTGTTATCGACCTATTTCAGCGGTTTGCTCGATCTATCCCGTATCGGGATCTATCCCTTATCTATCGATCCCTATCGGCACGATGTTGATGGAGGGGAGGTAACTCCTACATTCCTACTGAAAACGGTCGAGATGGCTTTGATGTAAGTGTTTCGATTATTTCCGATATGTGTACGTCTTGTTTGGCGGGGTTTGTATTGACAGGTCTGGTTCTGTACTAGATGTGTCTGGTGTATGTATCGGACTCTGTGCCTCCTGATCTACATGTATCTGGTCTATACCTATTTCTTGTACCAGCACAGAGTTAAATGTTTCAAACAACTTAAGGTTCATGTAACCACTAATAATTGACCTTCATGTCCCTTTATTTCATGTGTAAATATTACATTTATCACAAGCTGTGCTGAATTGTCGTTTTCGATGTTAGAGTTATTAATTCAAACACACTATAACTATGATTGAACGTTTGCCACGCACTCAAAAATAGTGCTATTTGAAATATAAATGAGTGACTTGTGAATATTTTGCCACTATTTTTGGGGGAAATTAGAACTGCTAACCTATTCATGTTTGAGAATTGAAACTTTGGCAAAAATAAGATTTTATATACAGTGAGGTACGTCTATGAAATAAATTATGTTTAAACATCCATACATGGATTTTGGTTAAATCGAAAGTCATCGTGTTGTCCAATGGAGGCCGCCATTTTTATAGCTGTAAACAAAATGGTGATTATTTCCGTCGCAATCACAAGCGATCGGTCCGTCCATAAAAGACGGCGTTGACATCGAATAAACCATAAATAACTAGTACATGTCGTAACCAGGCCTTTTGTTCATATTCAGACCAACATTCTTCCTCTTCGTCTGATTTTCGTTTCGGACGACATGGCGATATCGCTCCGCAGTTAATTTACAAAAATGACAATATTTCCTGTCATAGTTTTCCAAACAAGAGTATAATTCCTTAAATAGTAAAATACTTTTGATGCCGAATTGAATTACACAAATGTCGGAGTATTACTAAAAAGAAAAGAAATCAGAAAAATCAAAATGGGACTGAAAAACTGATTATTTATATTACTGTTTGAAGTGTCAATAAAAAGTAAACAATTTATGGAAGCATGGAAGAAGCATATATGTCAAATAAGTGTCTACTGCATTGCATTTCAGTGAAGCAGCACTCAAAAAGGCGCCATTAGTATGCTATGTCAAAAGAAATTAGTCTGCAAAGAATCTGAAAGTGAATTTTTTAAAGACATTGAATACCAATTAATTAACACTAATTATAACTTTTATTTATTTTATAACACAGGTGAGCAGCACAACTAATTGAAGCCATAGAAGCACATGCCGAATAACAACATTACCGTGAACATATGAGGAGGAAGCTCTAAAGACCCACACATTCCAAAGTGTTTACATCTGCATGTAATGGGAATAGATGCTCGTCAATCTCAATGCATGTTTATATTGCGTCCTGTCATCTTGTCTGTTGTAGTGTGGTCATGGAGGTGTAGCAATGGAGGTGTAGCAACTCGATGAATTGAAGCCTCATCCAGAAGTTCCTTATAGGTAATACATCATTGCACTATATTTATTTATCTACCCAGATACCAAAACATTGTCATCTGGTCCAAATGTTGCCAGGTAAATGAAAATGAATAGTATTGAATGTAGGGCCATGACAAGTGAATATTCTTGGGAATTGACATTTCATTTGAGATGGTCTTGTGGGGTTTTTATGAGACATCATTAAGAAACATTTGTGAAATTTCTTCTGGATATTAAAAAACTTTTACGAAATATCAAGAGACTTTTTTTAACACCTAGCTTTATTATTGTCTATACCAGAAATGCACGAAGAACATTGAATGAAATTTGTCTCACGACTCCTTTTCCACCAGAGGACACTGAAACACACAAAGTGTCAATCGACAACTGTACAGTACTCAGTTTTATAGGAATGATGGATTTGATGATGCAATGTATAGAAATCTCTATGAAGTGGATAACAAGGTTTACATTATTGACTATTTGCTGCAGGATTACAGAGATTCTTGTGCTTGGTTTATATATGTAGTAAGACTCATAGGTAAACATGGCAGTAGTTTATATTTTCAATAAAACGCTGTTGCCTGAAAGTTACCCCGTCACTGTGTGTTTGTAAATATTGGTAGCTACAATTATGATATGGTGATATCCGATGAGATGATGTTGGCGTGGTATCTTCCTCACTAAGCAAAAGACATCTAAGCTTTTTTCACGTCTGCAACTACAAGTCAAGCAACATTCCAAAGTTTGTACACTCGCGTGTGATGTACTGGAGCACTCAAATCGTACCGGAGTAGCCCATCGCGAAAGTAAAACTTGGCTGATTTAGTTGCCCGAAGTATTGCAGATGATATTGTTTTACGGATATGTAAATTGGTAAATGAGTCAATGTCTTGATTAGATTGGAAGTAATGCGATTATTACAAAAGCTTCAATAATGATGAACGGTAATTAAATTGAAATTTGACTCATGCTTCAACCGCTAAAATGATAGCACAATACATAACTTGAAATCTTATGTATGGAATTTATGTCAATTTTATTGAAGAATTGGTTTTTATTTTTATTCTTAAATTACAAATATACTTAGTAACTTATATATGTGCCACATTATAGCCACCCTACTATTCTGTTGACATCTAATAAGGTGACACTGGGTTTACTGTTTTATACGATGATTAAAATGTTTCATATGTGTATGTGATGTGCTAATTAATGTAATTATCAATATAAATAATAAACTGTGCTCCAATATTTGTTAATGATTCTTTTTTTAACAAACCATAACATACATATCATGCATTATTTTTCGGTCAGAAAGGTGGTTTTTAGAAAAAAATTACACTACATGGGCCTCCATAGTTTTAGAAAAGTAGTTCCAATATGGCTGATTTGTTATGGTGAAATTAACTAATGTCTTGACTTTGAAGTTGTGATTATCAGTCTTTTGAAGCAGTTTCATTAACTTTCAACAATCCCACTACCTAAAATGAGTTCTAAGGAAGATTTTGACTGATATTTCCTTGCAAATCGACTCTGTTTTGTGTAGATATGTTATTTCCTTCATAACATGTTATTAATGCAATTAAAACAATATTAACGAACTATACTTAACTGAAAGCTAATACATACTGTTAATTATATCCTACATATCGTAGCTATACCAAAATAAGGGCTATATCGAGGTAAAATTCAAGAAATTATGACCTTTTGCAACTAAGTTGAAAACAGACTTTACATAAACCTTATAGGTTTTTTTTCATCTAGGTTCGCCAGTGCTACCAAAAGTGTACTAAGTGTATTAATTTATTGTTGTTTTGTTACTGGCTCATTTCCTAATTTAATGTCGGCTTGTTGATGTATATTTTGTGTATTGAGTCGTCATGCCTCAGGGTTGACGTGTTGTATGTTTTTGTACGAGGCGTACTTGTGTCTGTTTGTGTCTTGTATCTAAGGACCTATTCGATTTGTAGGGGATGAACTTGGGGGTTTTGACCGTTTTTGCCCTAAGCGCCCCCTGTACTTGTGACACGGTCATACATACAATCATCCAAGTCCTTGATGTAATCACGATAAAGCCTGAGGGCAGGAATTTAACGGGTGAAACCCCTACATATGCCTGAATGTCGGCTACGGCCCCTCTCATGTTTATCGTTTTATATGGCCCTATATTCCTGTCCTTGGGGTTTGGGTTTAAAACTTCTACCTGTTCTGCCATGTTGTCGATCTTTTGATTAGTGATTAAAGGGAGCTAATTCAAACTCCAACGAAGGAATTTAAACTTTTGCATTTCCATTCTTGGTAGAAGTAACCAGACCGCTACGGACTCTTTGTCCATAATATATGATCGTGTGACTATATCTATGTAATGTGTTTAAAAACATTTAAATACTGCTTTTTTATTTGTAGATTTATAAATAAAAATACAATAAAAAATAAACTTTTAATAAAGCTTAATTCTAAATACCGTCGTTATTTTCATATTTGACGTTAGATGCTAGAAGAAAGATGATATGGAGTCTCAGCCATCGTGGCATATAGCATTTCACAGTTATCATTGTAAACTGAAAGGTGACACAAACTACAAAAAAAAACGTGAAACTACAGTTGTTGACGCCCCGGAAAATCTGAAAGCCACACTGAAACTAACATTGGTTGAATATTGCGGCTTACGCGTTTCAGAAACTTTATCCCATAGCAACAGCAAACAGACGGGAGTATACATAAGAACAGAACCTAAAGTTTTGAAAGACTGTACCACTAAGGCAAAGATTTTCGCCCCATTGCAGGTTCGCAACGAAGCTGCCAAAGACAATAGCGTACTAAATCAAGTAAACAGATCAGGGACAAAAACAAAGGGACAACAAAAAGGAAAAACCGATTGTTCCACAAACAATAACATTGCTGATGAGTTAATTGAAGTATTGACAAAGTGAACAACAGACTCTTATGAGCAAACCGTAGAACTTTCGATAGGCAAACTACAAAACATTATCGTGTATTCCGATTTTGTGTAGGTGTGGTTCAGAGGGATACGGGAGGTCATCCTATCATGTTAAGTCCTACTCTACTGCATTGGGATGTAGGAAAGGCTACCTACAGTCACTGTTTTGTTTACGTCAAGGCAAAACTGGGAACAGGCAATGCTGAATAATTACTTCTGCTGTCCATGACAATTTCGATTGCTCAACATTTTTTCTCGTATAACACACCTAAAAGAATGTGGGTAAGTTTTAAGAAAAGTGGGGAACTCCACTAGATACAAGGACAGCAATCAATAGATTAATTTTCGGGGTAAATGGGGTAATTTATAGAAGAGACTCGCTTCAATATGACATGAGAGTTGAAGATCTGCCTTTATTTCGGCAATTTTCCCCAATTCAAAAATTATTGGCAGAAATATTCAGAACCGAAATCGAAGTCAAAAGTTATAGAACCGATTCGCCAATCTGAAGTTAAGGAAATGTGGACATCAATAACAGACTAAAACAATCCGCCGAAAGGAAACAACACAACCTGCCAACTCTCATTGACAAATTGACCCTAGTCTCTAAACTGCAACTGTTAGACATATTAAGAAGGGCGTTGCACGGCACTGGACAGTTCAAACTTGCTGATACGTTTTCCGAGATCAGTCCCACTTTTTGGCATAACAAAACTTCAAATGAAAAGGACATCGGTTTTCGAAAAAAAATACAAAACAACAAAATCAGCGCGAAGAGTGAAATCGACTATTGCAAACTTCAGGTGTCTAAAACCAAAATAAGCGTGCGAAAAAAGTCCTTAACAGCGCAGACGTAGACATGCAGAACGAGCACAGCAAGAAACTCTCCATGGATCAAAATATAAAGAATATACAAGAATCAGAAATCAAGTTAAACGTGACATCAGGAGAAGTCGTCGAGATATGGAGAAAGACAATGCTACAAACATCAAACTTGACCCTAAGAGATTCTGGGCATATGTTATCTCGAAAAGAAAAGTAAAAACAGGAATAGCAGACTTAAAGTATCAAGAGGAAAATGAAAATAAAACTGCAGTCAGTGACAACGATAAAGCAGACATTTTAACTAAGTTCTACAGTAGCGTGTTTACAAAGGTGCCATCTGAGGAAATTGTGTGTACCGAGGAAACCGTTAATTAGTTGTTGGTAAACCTTAAATCTAATAAATCACCTGGACCAGACCATAGGCACCCTGAAGCAATGAAAGAACGGTATAACAACATCTCAAAACCGTTGAACATGATTTACGACAAGTCCAGTTTTGAGCGGAATACCACAAGGCGGTGTCCTTGGACCGGTACTTTTTGTCATATATACAATATACATACGTCACGTGTTCCATGTGTACCCGATCGTTCCATTTTTTTCATTTCTTTAAGCAAACTTTCCTTTCTTTCTTTTATTTTATGAAATCCGCTGTTTGCTTTATTGTCTACATTTGTATAAGTTGGACTGTAGTTTCGATACATTTGGTTATTCCGTTTTATATTGCAATGTCTTTTGATAAATGCATGTATTCTGATCCTATCTGTGAAATGTGTAATATAAACCCCTTCATGTAATTTGTTATACTGTAATGATTCATTGTTTTATTTTTGAGTGTATTGTCGATATTTCAATTTGTGATTTTTCTAGTCTTGATCGAGTTGTTGTCCTTATTTTGCTTAATCCTACAGGCCTATTTTGTTTCATGCTAATGACCAGTGCTTTTATGTGTATATGCTACCCTAGTACTAGTAATGTTATGTGTAGTAAGCCATAGTGCTGTGATTTTTTGTACTAAGTGATGTATTTGTTTTATGTACATCCTGGTATCTATTCTGTATGTAGTATGCTGTTGAACTTAACATGACTTTATTATTACTACTAATCATATCTATGGGTTTTTTTCGGGTTTATTTCATTTTGATTGCACAGCCTTTTGTTGCATGGGAGTAGGAATGTACCGATACGTCACAACTTCAAGGGTAGTCGCGTCACATAATTAACGTTTTGTGTATGTGAGGTGATGGCGTAGTCAGCTATGCCTTGATTGTATCACTCATATTGAAGGCATTTATGAGAGGTTGATGTTCAACCTCTTTCCTAACTGAGGTTGCCCAGTATTTATAAACCGAAACACTCACAATATACTCCCACTTGCCGTTATGAACTTGATATATTTCAGAAGTTGGTGAGCAGATTATAGATGGCAAGAAGCTTCACTAAACAGGCTGTTCTGATAGAGTGCAACAGTGCAAATTTTAACTGCCTCTTTGGATGGCTGTGTTCTTGCGAGCAGGATGAGGATAATATCTCGTCAGCTGCCGTAGCTTTAAATTTGTAACTTTTGCTTGGTAACCTTTATTGGTGTGGACGAAGGACGAATGGCATGCCCCCAAAAAGACGCCTCGTTCTTGATCATATGCCATATGACGTAACAGTCCTGATTCTGACAAATTCGGATTTTACCATCCTTTGACAATCAGTTCTGAAAACCCCCCACTTATTTACGAAGTTGCGACATTAAGATTTTCCCCTCTGGTTGATATTTGATGGTTGAAAATATACACGTTACTGCTGAGAAGATGTGATTGTGAGACATTGTTCCATGTGTAACTTTGTTTGCTTATATGTCATAGCAAAATTGAAGGCACGCGATTAGATATATGATTGGTAAAAACGAAACTCTGACCAATCGGTAGGCTGATACTAACTAGTCCTTTGAAGATTATAGAGGATCGACACCCTACATCAAAGCCACTTAATTTAACCGTTACGACACCGCGAGATTATTTTGATGTACATCAAAGGATCAAACTAGTCTTCTTGTCTCATCCACATGGTGGCACACACTTATAGCCTTCAATTTTGCTATGACATTTTCCAGGTGTGCAAAGAGCGAAAGCGAGCGTAACCCCTGTAACGTTTACATGCAAATGTATACGTGTTAAATATATTTGTAAATGTTTCATGCCACATACATATATATATATATCTATATCAATTAATTGCCATATTAGACTGTTTCGTTGAGCATATCCACATGCTATTGCGTATATGTATTAGCATGATACATACACAACATATACAACAGAACGAAAATGTAAGAATATACAAAAATTGCATGAATATATTTTATACCGGCAGCATATATTGCCGGTATACGTATTTCCTGTCTTGATAAAAACTAAACAGTTTCAATTGAAATTGCAATATTTATTCAATATTGAACAAAAACTTAATAAAATCGAAAACAATTAGTTTTCATTTTCCCCATGGAAAGAAAATTAAAGAAAATGTTGATTGGGCGGTTCAAATATGTTTTTCCACAATTGTATGTATTTGGTCAGTATTGTTCAGCGGCGTGTTTTTAGCGGAACTGGGCATGGCTGATTTGGAACCGGATCTGGAGACGGCGCCGTAGCAGATACAACATATGGGTGGAGGACATGACCAGTTGGTGGGATGTTTGTCCGGCAATGAACATTGGGTAGGACATGACAGGTTGGTGGGTGTCTGTCCGGCAGTGAACGTTGGGTAGGACATGACAGGGTGGTTGGGTGTCTGTCCGACAGCAAACGCTGGGTAGAACATGACAGGTTGGTTGGGTGTCTGTCCTGCAGTGAACGTTGGGTAGGACATGACAGGTTGGTGAGGTGTCTGACAGGTTGGTGGGGTGTCTGTCCGACAGTAAACGTTGGGTAGGACATGACCGGTTGGTGGAGTGTCTGTCCGGCAGTGAACGTTGGGTAGGACATGACCGGTTGGTGGGGTGTCTGTCCGGCAAACGTTGGGTAGGACATGACCGGTTGGTGGGGGGTCTGTCCGGTAGTGAACGTTGGGTGGGACATGACCGGTTGGTGGGGTGTCTGTCCGGCAGTGAACGTTGGATAGGACATGACAGGTTGGTGGGGTGTCTGTCCGGCAGTGAACGAACTTGGTTACGACATTGACCGGTTGATGGAGTGTCTGTCCGGCAGTGAATGTTGGGTAGGACAAGACCGGTTGTTTGGGTGTCTGTCCGGCAGTGAACGTTGTATGGGGCATGACCGGTTGGTGGGGCGTCTGTCCGGTAGTGAACGAAAGATGGGACATAACCGTTTGGTGGGGGGTCTGTCCCGTAGCGAACGAAGGACGGGGCATGACCGGGTGAAGCGACGTTCTGCTTTCCGGAGTAGATGTACATATAATTTTCTGCTTTCTGGTGGTATCTGGATATCTTGAAATCGGGGAACGATACACCCCGAGCTTCCATGCATTTTTTAATCGGGCTACCATCGGTGTGTGTTTTTCCATAACTGTCGTGTAGACTCCCGCTCTTTAAAACGGGTTAAAACGAGGTTGATACACCTGACACTATTTTTGGGATAATTCCCCGGTAAAACTTTTCAAGTATTGTCAGATCAGGATGGATCTCCCCCATGCACAACGACCGGACACCAAGCAACCCGACAGGATAGTATCTATCAATGTCGATGTTGACCAAAAACGGCAAAACTTTGCTAAAGAAAGTGTTGCATGTTTCATCTTGCGCTCTATTTTTGCCGGCGATCATCGTTTGCAGTTTTTCTAGCTCTTTTGCTAAGCTTTTCATCTTCTCGTTGTCGTTCTTGTCAATATCGTTACAGTATTGGAGACCCTGGCATGGACTCAATTCACAATGGCGTTTTGTGTGACCCATACGGAGATGGAACTGACCACACTGAGACTTGGAATTATCCATCTTAATACTGGCGTTGCTGTATTTTATCTCCAGTAGACGCAAATGTTCCTTTGCACTTTCAAGTGCTATGTCCTTGACATTTATGACATCTTGAAGTTCATCGATTGCCAGCCGAATTGGGGACTTATGTTCTAATTCACCAGTTCAAATGAACATATATATAAATCATTTATCAATTAGGACTCAACACTGTAGTATAGGAAATAGCTGACTGCAGCTAGCGCTTTTATTGTGGAAAAGCTACAAAAACAAGGCAACATCAAGCGACTGCGCACGGCTGTTCCTGAGCGACTGTCCCTCTAGCTCCAAGTCCCAAAGGATCTGTCATAGAAGCTCTGTAATATGCCAGATGCCAACGTCTATAAACCTAAAAGCATACACCAAATGGCTCAGAGAGGCTCTCAATCCTAGTTTAGAGCTCGATGACAAGTAACAAGTAACATCAAAACAAATTAAAGCTCTACTGCTCGCTACCAAATTGGCGGGGGGGGGGATACCACAAGCGCACTGTCTGGCTGCAACAGCTCGAATGACACTAACATCTATACACCCTGTACATGCCAACCCCCTTCCCCAGGTAATTCACGTGCAACACGTAATTCACCGCGTACGTCAGAATCCACGCCTTACCTCTACATACACAGGTACTCTAGCACCTACGTTACCCCATTGATACCGTACCATTGATAAATATAATTATAGACATTTGCTGATATGGAAATAGGAGAGTTCTATCCTGCCCCGGGATTTAATGTGGGGTGATTCAACGTTTTCCTCCTCGTTTCTGAATAACTGTTTGGGTGCCATGCTGGTCGGTTTAGAAATGAGTGTCACTGGTTTTGGCGACTCTCCTTCGAAAATCCACAGCTTCATTCACTTCAGCAGTGTTCCCGCTATTGAGGATGCACATTGAAAAGCCTCGGTCACACATGTATCCGAAACGCAATAATCCATTTTGCTCGTCATCCAAATATTGAAAACCGAACATCTTACCACTTAATCTTTGAATCTTTGCTTGAATATCACACTTAAGTTCCTCGTATGTTCACGGTTTATTTGGGATGTTAAATATTCTGATTTTCCCTTCGGCGTATTCAACATGCACCTGTACGCTCTCCAGGATTACTCTCGTGTGACCTTATGAACTTTAGTTGTGAAATGAGCG